CACCCCTGCTTTCCTGAGACAAATTCCATGGGGATGCCAACCTCGTTTGCCCCTCTGACTTCCTCATGAGATCTCTCGCCTCCTCCCACATCTCCTATAAAGGAGGTATTCCCGGCCCACCGGGCTGCAGCTGCGGGTCTGCGGGTAGGGGACATTCCTAGGTCTTGACCGCCAGAGCACCCGATCCAGTCCCGGCCACAGCCTTTGGCTAAAGTGAGGGCTGGCCTGGGGCCGAGCCGCAATCAGGGCCCTGGCTGTATCCAGAAAGAGAACTGAGATCCGTTGTCTCCTACCGGGCCGCCCCCTGACCCCAACTACATAGGAACAGATTGGGCCTGGCTGTCCTCGGGAGGGAGCGGACGCAGGAGGCCATCCTGGGCGCGGTGATAAACCTCCTCCCAGGGCCCTCCCAGGCAGGGCTTCTCTACCGGCTGGCAGCGTGTGGGTGTGCATGTGCGAGACTGTCAATGAATGCGGCCAGCCTGCTTCTGCCACCGCCTCTAGAGCTAGAGCTAGCACAGGGACTCGGAGTCCCCATGGGGCAGGTTTCCTCTATTTCTTCCTGACCTGGGGGGCAGCAGGAGGGATTCGATTCCAGGCGGGGTGGACCGCAATCCAGAGCAGCCTGGTTGCAGGTGTCCTTGGGAGAAACAGGCGTGAAGGCCCGGGCAGACATACATGCGATACATACGGAGCAGTGTGTGCCCATGGAGGAGAACCTGTGACCCCTGGTTTAGGACAACCTGCTAAGGTAGAGAGGACCTTGCCCAGGGAGTTGAGATTGCTTCTCACTGTGGGATCTTGGACAACTCACCTCGCCTTCCTAGGCCTTAGTTTCCCGATCTGTAAAATGGAGTGAGGGTAATTACTGTCCTGTTTGCTCCCACGAGGCTATTGTGGAGATGAAATGAGAATGAAATAGAAGGACTGATAAAAAATTGTAGAGTGTGGTACAGCCGTGAAGGACTATATAGTGATACTAAGCACTGCTTCTGCAGGCTTTAGCCCCTGGTCACTGCCTGAAGTGTCTGTCACAGAGGGGATGGGGTGGGCCAGCCTCTCCAAACCCCTCTCTGGGCCCCCCTTGCCTACTACCCCCTCTTTTGGAGCTGGGACATTCCAGTCCCATTCTTAGGGGCAGCTGCAGACACGCCCCTTAGCAGAGCTGATCCCCCAGCAGGTGGTGGGACCTTTCCCTTGGGCCAGGGCTCAGGAGGGGCTGACTGTAGCCAGGGCAGGCAGCACTCCTACCCGTGTGGGGACTGGAATGTCCCACCCCAGAGGAGATGCAAGGTGGGGTCAGAGAGGACTTCTAATCCTGGGAGCCTGTGTGCTTTCTCCCCTGCGGCTGAACATGACCTTAGGCGCGTTACTTCACTTTCTGAACCTCAGTTTCCTCTTGTGAAGAGGGGGATGACAGAACTCATCTCCTGTGTGTCTCATGAGGATGTGATAGTGCCCCTTGGCGTGACCCCAAAAAGGCACCAACAGGCTCTGGGATGCCCCCCTCAAAGAAAGCGCGTCCTCTCCTTTGCTTCCTGGCCGGGGCAGCTGTGTCTTCCATCTCCACCCAGGATTGGTCTGAAGGAGAGGAATCTCTCAAACACAGAGATTCCAGTGCCGCCCGCTAATCTTGGGGACTGGAGAGGGGTGAGGGGACTGGTGGCGGCGAGCAGGAGTAAAGAGGCCTTACTGGGGCCAGCCAGGACCTGTGGAGAATGAGGCTTGGGCGTCCCGGCCCAAATCTAGCCAGCTGGGTGGTTGGGGTTTGCAGCTTCCAGGGCAGGGAAGCCCAGGCACTTGACTTGTCCCCCTACCCTTCTCTCCACGACCCATGCAGGGGCCCCGGCTTTTTGCTCTGATGTTCCAGTAAGGCTGCAAGGCACTTGCTGTCGTGCCTCCCTCCTCCCCCACCAAATCCCCTCCAGCCTGCACAGCTGCCCTGCCCTGAGCAGGCAATCCCTGGGCTTCCAAGCAACAGGAAGGAAGGAATGTGTGTGTTGGGGGAGGGGGTGGAGGTGGGATGGACCCCTTTAGGAAGAGACTGTCCTCACTCTGTGACACAGGCAGGGAGGAGCGTCCTGAAAGCTGGGGGCCTCAGCCCTGCGGGGGGAGCTGATAATGCAGTCAGAGAAGTCAGCCAGGAGGGGCACAGCGGGGATGGTGGGGGGCCTAAGGAGAGACAAAGGGAAGGGGCTGTCTGCTGCTCCTTCACTAGCCCAGGGGCTGGGAAGGACACTGGGTCATCACGCCGCTGGGCTGCTCCTGCTTTGTCAGTGTGTCCTGGAAGGTGCTCAGTGCTGTGGGTGACCTTGTGCACAGCTGTATGATCGTGTTTGCTGCTGGACGTCACTGTCTGCACCGTGTCCTCTAACATGGGCTCTCTGTGCTGCTGGGTGGGGCTGGCATGTGGCACACTGCGGTGTGTGTGGCTGTATGCACTGTTGCGGCCCATGGCTGCCTCTAGCTCAAGGACTCTCCCTGGACCTGAGATGTCTGGTGGGGAACCTTGGGGGTCGGTTATCTCTCCCCGAGACAGGAAGTGAGCATCTGCCCACGGGAAGCTGAGGTGGTGTGCATTTGGGGTGCAGGTGGACGTATGTGATACTGCTGCCAATGTCGCCGCCCCCAGGGCCACACAGGGCTTACAGTTCACAAGCCCTTTCCCCTGCATCTCTGACTGGGAGTAATCCTTTGAGGAAGGCTGGGCAGGCAGGGTCTTTCCCACTTCATTGTTTTTTTCTTTTTTTAAAATAAATAGAGATGGGGTCTCGCTATGTTGCTAAGGCTGGTTTCAAACTCCTGGGCTCAAGTGATCCTCCTGCTTCAGCCTCCCAAAGTGCTGGGATTACAGGTGTGAGCCACCGTGCCCAGCACTTTCCCCCTTCAGAGATGCGGAAACTGAGGCATGGCAAAAGGCGGAGCATTTGTGTCTGGAGTCCCCTGGAGAGAGTGACGGCAGGCTGGAGAGCGTGACGGCAGGCTGGAGAGCAGGTCTCTGCTGTCCCCTCCCCAAGAAGCAGCAACAGGAGTTGAGTGTGCTCGTGGACAAACCATGTCCCTGGCTGGGTGGGCTTGTCGTGGCAAGGAGGTATCAGACGAGGAGGCAAGATGCTTCCATTCCAATACTTTTGGCTGTAGGTAGTGACATCTTAGGTCCCCACTAGACATTGGGCAGCCCTGACGAGCTGTGACCTCGGGCAAATTACTTCACCTTTCTGAGCCCCACTGACCTTACCTTTAAGAAGGGTCAGTAGCTGGGCAGTGTCACACACCTGAGGTTCTAGCTACTCAGGAGGCTGAAGTGGGAAGATGGCTTGAGCCTAGGGGTTCGAGGCTGCAGTGAGCTATGGTTGCACTACTGTAGTCCAGCCTGAGTGACAGAGTGAAGAGCAAAACCCTGTCTCCAAAAAAAAAAAAAAAAAGACTCAGCAGGACCCCTATGCAGGGCTGAATCACTGTAGGAACCCAGCCCCTATGATTCCTTACCTGGATGCATCCCCTATGTGGCCTGCCATGTGTGTTCTCAGGGGCTGGGCTGGGTGGGGTATGCAAACCCAGATTCGCCCCATCCTGGGTCTGGGGGTTGGTGGGGGGAGAGCTGAGGTCATTTTTGCACAGGGTGAGGTGAGACTGTGGGGTTGGGGCAGGTCCCCCTCCCGGAGAGCTTTGTCTTCCACAAACACAAAACCTGGAAATGGCTGAGGAAGATGGAACCTCCTAACGACCATTGTTTGGGGCAGGAGTGGGTGCCCGGAAGCATGGGTGGCAGTAGGGGACTCACAGCTGCAGCCTGCCTGCTGGACTTCTGTTCGAGAATGGGAGCAGCTGCTCAGGTGGGAGGCAGAGAAGGTGGCGTTTGTTCACTCGGCCAGACCTTTCTGCACGCCTGCTCCATGCTGGGCAGTGGGCTGTTCACAGGATCCCCAGGGGGCAGGTACCAGCCCTGCCTCCAGAGTGTGTGGCCCAGCACAGGTGGAAGCTGGTCTGTCAGCTTAGTCCCTTGGTGATGTTTATGTGCCTGGCTGAGCTCGGCTCCAGCCGGCCTGTTGACCCTGGCTGTGGCCCAGGCCCTGGACTGGGTGCTGTGTCATGCTATCCCACCCCATCCTCCCAGCATCCCAGTGATAAGTGTTATCGTCGCCAGGGCGTGTGTGCGGAAGCCCAGGCTCACTGAGTTAGTGGCTTGGCCGGGGTCACACACCGATTGGTTCCGCCAGGGTTAGGATTTGGGACCCACCCTGCTGCGTGGTGGGCTTTGGAATGAGAGCATATGCGGGGGCTGGCGTGAGTCCAGCTGCCCCTTCCCTCCTCCTCCCACCACTGCCCAGACGGGAACACCTGTCCCGGAAACTGTGGCCATTGTTCACGTCATCCTTCCTCCTTTTGGGCCCTTCCTGTTTGTATCCCTCCCGCTGTAGCCCCCAACCCTCCCCCACCCCATGCCAGATGTTTCCCTTGGGGAGCTTTGACCCTTTGCAGGAAGAGGGGCTGCAGGGGTTATCCCTCTCCCATGGGAAGGAGGGTCCCACTGGCCTTGGGTCTCTGTGCCTTCTCCCCACCCCACAGATTTGGTGGGGAACATGGCAGGAGGGTGAGCAAGGTCAGGTCCAGCCAGGCTGAGTTTGTCTTCCTTAGCCCTGTGCAGGCCCAGTGCTGGGAGGAGGGTTCCTGTCCTGCTGCTTCAGGGCCTGTCCCTCCGTACTTCTGAATCCCACACAGGCCCCTAGGTGGAGCTGGCCCTTCCGAGCATGGCTGGGGCGCCATTGTTCTTCCTTAGACTCAGTCCAGCAAGTGACAGATGGGCAGGTGGCTTTGGGGCTTGTACTTCCTTCTCTTGCCAGTCAAGGGATCCTGTCCCGGGGTTCTGTCTTGGACCCACATCTGCCTTACCTGGGCCTGGGCCAGGTTGGGAGCTACAGGGAGCAAGTGCCTTGTTTTCAGGCCCCAGGGAAGTTGGGTAGCCAGTGCCCACCTGCCCCTAATGGAGCTTTCCAATTCCCAGAAGCAGCTGCCTGTGCCCTGTTGAAAATTCATGGCCACAGCCCCAGGCCCTGCTGGCATTGCCATGGGCAGCGTGGGCAGCCTGTTGGAACGGCACGACTTGTCCCCTGAAGAGCTGCGGGCGGCCCTTGCCGGGTCTCAGGGCTCCCGCCAGCCTGACGGGCTCCTCCGGAAGGGCCTGGGCCATCGTGAGCTCTTCAGCTACCTGCACTTCCCCAAGAAGGACGGCAAGAGCACCAAGCGGGCCCCTCGCAACGAGCCTGCGGACTATGCCACTCTCTACTACCGGGAACATCCTCGCGCGGGTGACTTCAGCAAGACCTCGCTGCCGGAGCGGGGTCGCTTCGACAAGGTGCACCTCTGCCCATGCCCCTTACAAGGTGTGGGGAGGGTGGGGTCTCCTTGGAGACCCTGATGTTGGGATGGGGTGGGGATGGGGCATGCTGAGATACGAAAATCGTGCCATGGGCTGGCCTGAGACTTGTTCACTGCCTCCTGGTGGCACGTGCCCCGCGGTCTCAAAGAGGATCCCTCAGGGGCTGTGGGAGCATCAGGAGGTAGAGCAGGCAGCTGCCCAGGTCTCACACCTGCCCTCTCTACCCTTTCTGGCAGTGCCGCATTCGCCCCTCGGTGTTCAAGCCTACGGCAGGCAACGGGAAAGGCTTCCTGTCCATGCAGAGCCTGGCAGCCCACAAAGGCCAGAAGCTGTGGCGCAGCAATGGCAGCCTGCACACGCTGGCCTGCCACCCGCCCCTGAGCCCCGGGCCCCGGGCCAGCCAGGCCCGGGCACAGCTGCTGCACGCCCTCAGCCTAGATGAGGGCGGCCCTGAGCCCGAGCCCAGCCTGTCCGACTCCTCCAGTGGGGGTAGTTTTGGTCGCAGTCCTGGTACTGGCCCTGGCCCCTTCAGCTCCTCCCTGGGCCACCTTAACCACCTCGGGGGCTCCCTGGACCGGGCCTCTCGAGGACCCAAGGAGGCTGGGCCACCAGCTGTGCTGAGCTGCCTGCCGGAGCCACCACCGCCCTACGAGTTCTCCTGCTCCTCTGCCGAGGAGATGGGAGCCGTGCTGCCCGAGGCCTGCGAGGAGCTCAAGAGGGGGCTCGGCAATGAGGACGGCTCCAACCCCTTCACGCAGGTGAGGGGGCCCCTGCCCTGGAGTCCTGTTCTGTGCCTCAGCACTGGGGTACAGGCCAGAAAGAGGGGCCATAGCCAGCTCACCCACATGGCCGTGGACACAAGAGAGCAAGAAAGAGGGGGCTGGCTCGGCTTCCTTCCCCTCCATCCCAGGTGGTGGGGATGTCATGTCACCGGGGGTCCTTGCCTTGGAGTTGTGTGGGAAGGAAGGAGAGAGGCTCCCCGGGAGGGCCATGTGATGGGGACACCTCACCCCAGAGGGCATCCCGGGTTAAAGCGCATGTGTGGCTGGGTCCTGTGGTGTAGGGGCACAGGATGTGATCAGTGGCTGGAGCATCAGGTGGAGCTCTGGGTCGCGTCTAGGGGGCAGGGCCACGGTGGATGCATCTCTTCCCCTTGACAGGTGCTGGAGGAGCGCCAGCGGCTGTGGCTGGCTGAGCTGAAGCGCCTGTATGTGGAGCGGCTGCACGAGGTGACCCAGAAGGCTGAGCGCAGCGAGCGCAACCTCCAGCTGCAGTTGTTTATGGCTCAGCAGGAGCAGCGGCGCCTGCGCAAGGAGCTGCGCGCTCAGCAGGGCCTGACTCCAGAGCCTCGGGCCCCCGGCACCCTCTCAGAGGCTGACCCCGGTGCACGACCAGAGGAGGAAGCCCGATGGGAGGTGAGAGATGACACAGGGCTCCGAGAGTCTCCCATCTCCATTGCCGGTCCCTTCCTCTGCCTGCCCCCTCCCAAACCTGCTCCCCACACCCTACTTTGCTTGCGTCCTCCCCATCCCCCAGGTGTGCCAGAAGACAGCAGAGATTAGCCTCTTGAAGCAGCAGCTGCGCGAAGCCCAGGCGGAACTGGCCCAGAAGCTGGCGGAGATCTTCAGTCTGAAGACACAACTTCGGGGCAGCAGGGCACAAGCCCAGGCTCAGGACGCAGAGCTGGTCCGGCTGCGCCAGGCTGTGCGCAGCCTGCAGGAGCAGGCCCCTCGGGAGGAAGCCCCAGGCAGCTGTGAGACTGATGACTGCAAGAGCAGGGGCCTGTTGGGGGAGGCAGGAGGCAGCGAGGCCAGGGACGGTGCTGAGCAGCTGCGGGCTGAGCTGCTGCAGGAGCGACTTCGGGGCCAGGAGCAGGCGCTGCGCTTCGAGCAGGAGCGGCGGACTTGGCAGGAGGAGAAGGAGCGCGTACTGCGCTACCAGCGGGAGATCCAGGGGGGCTACATGGACATGTACCGCCGCAACCAGGCACTGGAGCAGGAACTGCGGGCACTGCGGGAGCCCCCCACGCCCTGGAGTCCCCGGCTCGAGTCCTCCAAGATCTGAGGCCAGCAGAGCGAGCTGACAGCAGAAACACTGTCAGAAGGTGCCCTGAGACGGCCGGCTCGGCCTTCCCTTGCACTGATTGGGGTGGAACCTGCAGAGGCCAGGCCAGGGCTGGGGAGGCGCAAGGAGAGGAGGGATCCAGTGGGGCTGTGGGCTGGGTAGGGTGCCTTGGCAGGAGCCAGCACAAGGCCCTCCTGGCAGAGGAGCACCTAGGCAGGGCCCAGCCCTGCTTCCTGGAGCGGATGTGGCCCAGAGAAGGAGGCTGGGGGATCACCAGCCCCAGGGTCCCGAAGGGCAGGTCAAAGGGCGGCTGAAGACCTGGACTGGGGCCTTCCTCCATGGAAGGATGCTGGGGTGGGAACATTAGCCTCCCCCAGAATAAAACCACCGTTTTCTACCAGAGGCTCAGAATACGCTGAGCCTGTCCCTGACCTGAGACCAGAGGATGATGGATGGTCAGGATTGAGGCTGTTGACCTGGGCAGCAGCTCCTCCCATAGCCAGTGGTCAGTGGGAGGGTGTGCCCTGCACCTGTCTTCGTGGCCACGGGGCATGTATGTTGTGAGCAGAGGAATCCTACTCCTTGCCTCAGCCCCACACAGTTCCTTAGCTGCCGTGTGGGCTGGAATTCCTTTCTTTAGCACCAGTGGATTTTTCAGAAGGAACAATATCAGGGAATACCAAGAAAACAAAGGGCAAGTCAACCAGGGCATTTTGAGAACATGAAATGTCTTACTGGTGGGAAGGCTGGGCCCCTGGAGTATCCACAAGCTCAGGCCCTGCCCCTCCCAGAAGCCACCTCCTGTCTCCCTCCATAGGAGTGGGCGGGGTGGGGGGGGCCCTAGAAGTGGAGGGGCCAGGAAGAACAGTATCCTTCCCGGCCCCTTGCTCTGCCTCATTCCCTGTTCGTAGGAAGGTGCAGGAGAAGAGGTGGGCAAGTGTATGGGTTTCTTGGTAAAGAACCTTTACCACAGCAAGGAATGGAAGCATTTCCCCATCAGCAGTGGGGCTCTGGGGCAATATTAAGTAGGGGTGAAATATGATTGATCTGCATTCTGGAAAGCTCTCCAGGAGAAAGCATTCCCCGCCCCGCCTTGCCTCTCTCCTGCACCAGGCTCTAGGACAGTCAGTCCTCCCAGATCCCTGCTGTCAGCTGAGGCTGGTCCCTAAAACCCACACTTGCCTCTGGCCTCTCACAGGCCTGGCTTGCCCTGTGGGCCTTTGCTCCCCGGCTGGGTGCCTGGCCTGGAACACAGCTTCAGTCTGGCTGTGCGAGTGGTGTCTCTCCCTTCCTTAGTGCGAAGTTCAGCTTCCTTACACACTTGTCGTTGGACCGGCTGCCGGGCATTGCGTGCTTGCTGTGTGCCAGGGGCTGTGCTGGGCCCTTGTGAATGTGGGGCACAGGCTGAATTAGATGAGCTCCTGCCCCAGGGGGGCCTGCACACTGAAGTCAGCTCACCAGTCCCTTCCCTGACAGGGCAGCTCAGGGAACTTCGGAGAATTTGTCTGCAGACAGCTACAGATCACTCCCTTTGGCTACCCTGGCCATGCCTGGCAGCCCCTCAGGACCCACAGGTGGGTCTTGGTTGTGAAGTGGAGTTAGTGCACATGGATGTCGGGGGACGGGTGTGAGGCATGAGCTGGGAGACCCCGCCTTTTCAGGGCAGAGAGTGAGGCGTGTGCACTACCTGCTGTGGCGATGGTGTGTTTATGGTCATGTAAGTGGCAGGTGTGTGTAAAGATGTGCTTGTGGGTGGTGGGTGTGTCCGAGGGGGTGTGTTTGGGAGCCTGGCCTCCAAAAGCCAGTGTCTGGGTTGGAGACAGTGCAGGCCCCTTCTTGGCCCCACCCTCTACCCCATTCCTTCCTGTCAGCCCCAGCTTGTCTTGGCACTGGCCAGGCTGGGGTGGAGCCTGTGTCCCAGACAGATCCCCTAGGCCTATCTGAGACCCTTGCAGGCCCACACCTGAGCTCCTGTCTGCCTGAGGAGGGAAAGGGGGAGTGCCCAGGTCAGGCAGGCCAATGCTCTACACACCCGCTTGGTACCCATTCCCATTTCACAAACTCCTCCAAACCCCAAACGGAAATTTCTGAGACAATGGCTCCTCCAGAGGGCCCCTCAGAGCCAGGTGCTGGCCAGATGCCTTGATCACAGCCTCCATGGCCAGGGGCCCATCAGGCCAGGTGCCCACACACCTGGTGCCAGGGTCCACCTTGGTATTCCAGCTCTGCAGAACAGTTCCCCACCCAGCAATTAGGGAGCTGGGCTGGCCAGTACAGCCAGTGGGGAGTGGGTGGGAGGTACCAAAACTTGGCAGGTGTGCCAGAAACCAAAGCCAGGCCCAGATGTAGGGGGAGGGCACAAGAGCTGAACCTGAACCTGGGGCGTCTCGGAGCTGGATCCCCGTCAGCTCATCCAGGCTAGACAAACCAGTTCCTGGGTCTCCCAGCCGGCTGGGTGGCTCTGGGGCCAACCGACCACAGGTGTCACTGATCACAGGTGTCACTGTAGTGGCTAACACCTCGGGGCAGCCCCTCCCTCCTGCTGGTGGGGCCTCAGGTTCCTAGGTGCCCTGGCTTAGCCTTCCCTGCAGCCCCTCCCCAGCAGGCTTGGTCCAGGCAGCCAGCTCTGCAAAAGGTGGCTGCCTTCTGGTGCTGAGCTCCCTGCCTCTGGGGCCTCCAGTCCTTCACTCAGTGTCATCCCTTCCAGCAGCTCCCTGGGCCCCTTGGTCCATCCCTTGAGGCTTCTGACACACTAGTGGCCTCTAGTCACTGATAGTGGTGCCTCCTTCTTACCTTGGAGCCCTCTGAGCCCTCATCCTGCAGGCAGAGCCCCTCGGCGCTCTGAGAAACCTTCCCTGAACTCACCACCTCCCCTGCCTGGGCACTCCCTTCTCCCTGCGCCCACAGCCCCCATGCCTCTCTCCGTCAGCGCTTTCCGTGCTGCTGTAATTGTTGGTTTGCCTCGTCTCCTTTGAGCTGTGGGCATTGCCAGGGTAGGGTGGTGTCTTCCCCGCAACTCCAGAAGGCACTGGTGGGATGTGGAATCAGGAGCAACCGGAGCCCCCCATACTAGAATGGGTTTGAGCTTGGGGTGGGGTGGATGGGGAAGAGACTTACTCCGAATGTTCGTTCAACATCCGTGGGCACCAGGTCTGTGGCAAGCACAGGGACTCCAGGGCCAGCTGCCATTTGTTCCAGTGATGTATTCGGGGCCTTCTCAGGTGAGGAAGTCAAGCTGGCCAAGGCCCTCTGTCCCCTGCCCTGATGGGACTTAGCTGTGGGTAGGGGAGGGAGGCCGCTCCAAATAGCGACTGGGGCCAGGCAGGAGGAAAGGAGAGCAGAGGAGAATCCAGAAGTGCTCAGACAGAACTAGGGACAACAGAGGGGCCTCCGTGGTGGCGAGTGGGTCAGCAGAGCATGGAGCAGGAAGAGGAAGCCTATCTGGGAGGCTGGGTGCATTTCTCTGAGACCAAGGGGATGTAGGTGTTGGGGTTTCTGCAAAGAGGGCGCAGGCCCTGCAGTGACGGTTCAGATATTGATAACCCATCCCCCTTGGAGGGTCGGGGCTTAGGCATCCATATTGGATTCAGAAAAGAACAAGAATGATGTTTCTGGCAACAAAAGAAAAGTGATTATGTCACGAGAGGAGAGGCTGGAGGGCCATAGGAGTTCCCAGCTGGCTCACTCATCCGTCCAGGAGGTGGGGTCTCATGGTTTCATTTTGCTCTGGGCCTACTTAGAGTTTTGATAAATGCAGAGTTACATAACGAACCCGACAATGAAGATATAGAATAGTTCTGTCACCCCCCAGCATTCTCCCGTGGCTCTCTAGTCCACCCCCCTGCCCCACCCCATCCCCTGGCAACCACTGATCTGCTTTCACAATAACTGTATGGGTTTTTTTATCTTTCCTTTTTTTGAGCAGTGTTTAATTCCTTTGCTCTAATATGTAATATTAGAACATATTACAAAGTAGCAAGAAAAATACGACATTGGTGTAAAAATAATCTACACCTCACAGAAAGAATGAAGAGCCAGAAATAGATTCTATTCTGTAGAAAATCTTACACAATAAAGGACTTCAAAACAAGGGTAAGGAAGGATTCTTTAACAAGAGGTGCTGGGATAACTGGATAAAAATTTGGGAAAAAAGTCATACCATGCGCCACCCTTGCATTTATTTTTATTTTATTTTATTTTATTTTGAGATGGCGTCTCGCTCTGTTGCCCAGGCTGGAGTAAGTGGCGCGATCTCGGCTCACTGCATCCTCTGCCTCCCGGGTTCAAGCCATTCTCCTGCCTCAGCCTCCCAAGTAGCTGGGACTACAGGCGCCAGCCACCACACCCTGCTAATTTTGTGTAATTTTAGTAGAGACGGGGTTTCACCATGTTAGCCAGGATGGTCTGTATCTCCTGACCTTGTGATCCGCCCACCTCAGCTTCCCAAAGTGCTCGGATTATGGGCGTGAGCCACTGCGATTGGCCCACCCCTGCATTTATTGAGTTAAATTTTAAAAATCCTATCCTAGGAAATTGGTGTTGGGGCTCAGAAAATGATACACCAAAGTATGGAGCTGTGGGAGGCTGAATGCTTTGAACTAAAGTCTCTGACCATTGCTCACTCCTCTTCCCTCCCAAAACCCTCCTGAAGCGCAGGGAGGGGCCTTCTCTAAAGTTATCTTTTGTTTCTAAGGGAAGTTCCTGCAGAAGGAATGCCATTGTCTTGAGCCCTTTCCCTAGCATCTCATAAAACATGGATGATTAACTCACAGGAAAGGATACTGAAGGTGATACCATCTCTTCTGAGGACTGAGCCACTTGAGAGGTTTTATCTGCATGACAAGACAGCCTTTGTTTGCCATGCATTTCCTCCCCTCAACCTCCTAGCCTCTGTCGCCACCTCCTCCCAGAAACCTCAGGCCCCAGTTTTTGGAGCTCAAATGCTATTTAGACTTCATCAATCTGGCCCTTACTAGAGTCTCACATTTTGTGGGACTCCTGCGCATGTATGTAATACATTCGCATGCCTTTTCTCCTGTTCATCTGTCTACCGTCAGTTTTATTCCAGAGACTCAAATTATTGAAACTTCGGAGAATACAGGGAATGTTTAAAACTTCTACACTGACAAAAAGTTAATTTGATTACTACTGAATTAATGGGAGAATTGATTGCTTTGAAGGAATCCTCCCCATCCCTAACAAAAAACAAAAACACAATCCCTATGGGGAAAGAGTGACAAAATCAACTATTTAATACAACTTGGTGCACACTTGAAAATAATATCAAGATGCAAGGATGGCCACATACTGGGGGAGAACCTCAACTTTGCTCACATCCTTCTTGGCTGTGAGGCAGGCCAAGGCTCCCGGAGAGGAAGTGGGGAAGCCTGGGGCATTTGCCAA